CATACATACATACATACATACATACATACATACATACATACATACATACATACATACATACATAACATACCAGTTAATTCACTAATCCAGCAAATCCACTAAACTTTAAATCATTAATCTCAAAAATAACATAGATGATAATCCAGGCGACAGTAGAAGTTATTATTTCACAACGATAAAAATTACCGACATTTTTCATTTAGACTTTATAGTTTTACAGATCCACAGGACCACGCTGTTTGGCAGAACTGCGTCCGGCATGTCCTAGTAACATCACTAACATGGAATACCCAAGTAGTCTGGGTACTCTTGGTAGGGGTGTGAGGTGTTGTTAAACGGGACCAGTGTTTATTAGAGCCCATAAACCATAATACAGGGGTTTATTAGAGAATAAACCTTACTTGATGAAAGGAACGGCGGATCGCAAAATTTTTACAACGTCATTTACTGATGTGTTTGACAGTGTGGCAATCGTTGTAACATTAGCACTGTGAAAAGCTCGTGCTCGTGCTCCATCAATTCCCTCAATTTGTACCAGTTCTGTTAAGTCTTTGCTCACACCAAATGTTAGTCTTTCGGCAAACCCGTCCAGGACACTCTGCAAATAAGTCCAGCCAAGTCGTTCACAAAATGTCACAACCATATCTGAAAGAAAACAATCTTTTTTTTTTTTGATTCAGCTCAATTTATAAAAAGCTTTTTTATGTTCATCTTCTTTTTCCTTCCTCAAAGTTAAAGTACAAATATTCGAAACGAATTTGCCTTACTTAAAAAAACTAGTGATATCTCGAAACTGCTATAATAATTTTGCCAAGTGACGTTCATTTTCCTCTCCCGTTTTCAGGCTGTATTTTCTTCAGAAGAAGAAACGAACGTCATAATCGCCAGAAGACTGACCAACTGGTGATGCACTGGTCAAAGCAATTGAAGATGTTGTGAGCTTCTAAATTTTTTCATATGAAGCTTGATGAGCGCAACAAGTGCTGTTATTCGGTTTGCTGGTATATCTCAGTAACAACTGAGAGCCAAGTATGATAATTTAGGCGGTTTATGTGATTATTCCCATTGAAAAATTTTGAGAACACTATAAAATCAAGTTTTACC